TAATCAGACAAATCTGACTAAAGTCACTTAACATATCGCTAATCATTTTTAAATTAACCACTAGGGTGAAAGAATTTAATTTAAAAAAAAAACTATAACCACTATCAAAGTGAACATATTGTAAAAGAAAGTAATGGTGCTTCATTTTTATTTATTTTTAAATGCAAACTATTCTCGACATCTCTCAAATCTTGATTCAAAAATAAATTAGCGTATATTTTTAGGCATAATAATTGGTTGGAAAAAGCATCTAGCAATATTGTCATTAGAATTATCATCATCGCCGACATCGTCTAAATCATCATCATTACAATTTTAGGGTATATAGGTCTATAACGCAAATGTGGTTTCCTTTTTGATTATTTGTTTAAGACTTCAAGTTGTTGTGTTTTTTGTTTTCCACTTGTTCTAAATTATGCAGTATTATATTTTGATAATGCATTCAATAATAATTATAGCCAACTTGAAAGACAAAACTTTCCGAAATGATCTTAAAAACGAAGTTGTCGATTCACTTCCATAGAAAGTCAGTGTTTTTTTTTTGCAAAATAATGTAGTATAATAATTAATGCAAAAGGAGTGGTGGTAGGGGGGGGGGGGGGTCACCAGTCACGTTTTTGCCACTTCTACATCCAAAGAGGGTTGAAAGCTATTGTATAAGTATTTTGTTGACATTACCGAGAACAACTCAAATCATGTCCTGCAATGTATTGCCCTTCTCTAAATTTGGCACTATACCCCCTCCCCCACATCTTCTACATAATTCATCTATTTATTTATTCATTCAATATTCATTCATTTTATTGCCGAGAGATATTAATGTGATGGATAGAGATAAAAAAATGTTCACCTTTTATTCGCCATAAAACTTTAGCAAACTAACAACGTATATAAGAATTACCCTAGCCATTTGAAAGGCTGACAGGCGTATAGGCCCTTGTGAAATGTATCATTTATAGTTTTATACTACTCTTTCGATAGCCATTCATTTAGGTTTATTTCACATAAAACAACATTTATTTTATTCACAGTCAGCTGACGGAAATTTGATAGCAGCGAAAATGTCATGGTCCGTGTTGGCAAAAATATATAACACACAAACATTTGAAAAAAGATATTATAGCCTAATGTATAGAAGCACTAAGAAAAAGGATGTAAAAGTGAAGAGGGAGAATAAAAGAAAAATCGGGGAAAGGAGGGGTGTAATCGAAGAAAATTGAGGGAATAAATTAAACTAAATTAATTAAAACAAAAACTAATACATCAATCCTCTGCCTGCATCCTGTATCGTATCAGAAACAAGCACTCTTTTCGCTACAAAGCCACGACGCTGGATTGAAAGGCGACACAAGCTTCAGCGACATAGAACATAAATACAAACTTTTTGCAAATCTACCAAACCTGGCAACTTTTTTAAAAGCCGGACTTAGTTGTCATCGGGATCACTTTTGGAGAACCGAACTTCAAGCATTTTTTGCAACATTAATCAATCATAATTTTGTCACAAAATTTAACTGCATGATTATCACATTACCACACAGGGGCGTAGACAACGGGGGGGATGAGGGGGATGCATCCCCCCCACCTCACAAGGTGGGGGGGATGGCATGTACAATCATCCCCCCCAGGTTTTGGGGAATGATATTTGCTTACTTAATAAGTCATAATGATGATAATAATAGTAATAATAATAATGATAACAATTATAATATTAATAATAATAATAATTATGATGATGATAATAATAATCTTCATCATTATTGTAATTGTGTTTATTGTTAGCCGCATTCACACGGTGAAAACCAATTCTAAAACAGAATAGAAAATGAATGTGATACAACAGTATACATAATAATTCGTGACAGAGAGTACCATACTACCATCTTTATAACAAGTATTATTCAAACAAACATATATAATTATGTATAATCATGAATTGTTCAACTTCATGCTCCCACTATATGACTATTGTTACACTAATACTGATATCAGGACTGACTGGTATAGATTAGTTTGTTGTTAAGCTTGCAGCAGCTACATCTTTTCTGTATTGTTAACTATTTATTTATTTTTGTTTTATTTAAGATGCACTTTGTTTTGTATTCATTCAAAGTATGTTGATTGATGCATGAAGACATAAGTTTGAAATGTTTAAAGAAGTTTGTTTCATGTAAAGCGCAGTGTGAATTTACCCTGTCTTGAAATGCGAGATAAAAGGAACCTATTAGTATTAGCATTATGTTTTGTATTAGTATTATTTTTTATTTGTATTATTATTATTATTATCATTATTATTATTATTATTATTATTATTATTATTATTATTATTATTATTATTATTATTATTATTATTATTATTATTATTATTACTATTATAAGACTGAGATCAAATAGAAGTAAATAATGCCCTAATTTGAAACGATGCAATGCCGTTATGGTTCCGATTTCTTCACAAACTTACAAAGCAGTATTGTTACGCCATGGATCATAGTGATACTGTTTTTGTTTTTTGTATCTGTATGTCAATGAGCCGCCAGCCAATATCCATCTATGGATACTATGCCTGTTTCTTTGAGGTAAAAAAAAGCATAGTATGTACGTATTCATTATGCTTTATAATGAACAGACATATTGTTCAAAGTTTAATCGTTATTTGTTTGTTGTTTATGTGTTCTATTCACAAATGGCCACAGAGGCTGTTTTCATTCATAACCACATACCCCTATCAAGACAACAAAGACTATACCTGCGTGTACACAGTTGACATTGGTTTTTTTTCTGAAGAGGTGTAACAGCAAAATTCACAGAGATAAATAAATACGTAGTGTGGTTCAATATGCAATACTATGTGTCAGTCCATTCTGTATTCGTATGCCACGGTGTGTAGATCTTGTCGATGTATGTCTGTCCATTCAAGGCGTAGTATGTGTGTGTGTGTGTGTGTGTGCGTGTGAGTATGTGTGTGTGTGCGTGAGTGTGTGTGTGTGTGCGTGCGCGCTTGTGTGTGTTATTTTACCTCATTAAGTATGCATCAGATTGCACGATTTCAAGTTCAAAATTGCAAAAGCTCCCTACCGTGGGAGGGGGGACACCCCCCCTCCCACACCCTCCCCCCGCTCGGTCGCTTCGCTCCCTCACTAGCGTTGGCAGCCCAGTCATCCCCCCCAGGTGTACGAACCTGTCTACGCCACTGTTACCACATCGTTACCAGAAATTGTCGGTTGCTCGATCGAACGAACGGCCAAACATCATTGCAACATTCTTCGGGGGGGGGGGGGGGGTTCAATCTCAGCCTCCCACCTTATTCGCCTACCATTACCCCCCGGAAAACTACCCCCAAAGATAATTACCCCTAAGGACAATTACCGTGCCTCGACGAGCTACCCCGGAAAAGAGTCCCCCCCCCCCCCACCCCCTGAAACTTAACCCCTATATAGGACAATGCCCCCCTGGGACAACCAAGGACAACCGCCCCGAGGACTACCCCCTGTTCAGTATGAACAGGGGGAAGTCAACCTCGATAATTAGTTGGGTAATTTTTAGGGGGAGATCATTAATTTCAGGGGGTGGTAATTGTCCTCTGGGGGTTTAATTGTCCACGGGGGGGGGGGGGGGGGGTAATAATTGTCCTAGAGGGTAATTTTTCGGGGGGGAGTAACTTCCTCGGGGTGGTTGTCCTCGGGGGGGGGGGGTAATCGTCCTTGGGGTAATTATTGTACCGCTAATTGGCCGGGGGTGACATGCCCAAGGGGTAATTGACCTAGAACCTTCAAAGGGCAATAAATAAACAGCTACTCAATTTACACTGAATCTTATTTTCTGGTTGTAAACTCAACAAAAAATGAATGGCCACCTCTAAATGATTATTTTGTAGACCATGCAAGTGAGCCTGCAAAATGTTAAGTTTAGTAGCACGGTTATGATTGCTCATCAAAAAGTGAAACAACATTCCGTCTGGCAGATTTTGACAACTGCATGGCTGTAATCCCAGTAAAGAGTTTTATGCCTGGTGACCATGTTATCTCATTTATGATCTTTCTTTTATTTGCAAAATGTAGGTCAACATATACGGGGGGGGGGGGTGAATTCCCAATTTACAAACTGTTTATAGGTCGAATGTAGTTTTATAGTATTTGTGTATTCTTCACCTTCTTCATACTCTCGAGTTGCGATTTTATGGAGTAAACCGAGTGTTTTATCATGGAAAAAAGACAATGAAGTGTGCACTTTCAAAAAACCAACCGCAGACCTAAAAACACACAAATAGACTAAAAAAACCACGGGCAGGTAACCTTTTCTCTGTTAGAGCACAACGCACGGTACATACACTGAACTAGCGCGTGTGTTTGAGTGGGCGGAAATAGGGCAGGGGCATCACAGGGCGACATGGCCGAGTTCAAGCCTCGATAACTTTTTTATAAATAATAATTTTCGCAAGAAATTTGCTCAGGTAAAACATCAGGAATTTAAACTTCCATATCTCTTTAAACAAAAGTAAAATTTCCACCATATTTTTTTTCTGATCGTTTTGAATAGGAACTTGATGTTTTTTAAAAAGGTTGATTCACACCTAAATAAGCGCATAGCTGACTGCTGCACAGTGACGTCATTCGCGTATCTCCGTTAAATGGGCGATCGACAGTGTACCATATTTCGTGCACATGTTCCTTACAACGTGTATGCTGCTATAGGCAAGTTAGTCGCACGCCTTCATTGCGCACCGTAGAAACTCGGGCGATGGAAGACGGCCGTTGTGTCTAATAAGCCACTGGTAACAGGGGGGCGGTAACTGGGCAGGGTACGGTACGTGTGGACTAGAGTACGGACATTCGGTGCGGCAGGAGGACTATTGGTGCGAGACCTCTTCAGCACAGATTGCCCGTCAGACATTTGAGGCGCGCACGGAATGTCCGACACGGACATTCTGCGCGGATAAAATCCGCACCGATCGTCCGCTCTCGATCGATCTCTAATAGTCGGACGATCGATGCGGGTTACATTCTACGCGGTCACACCGGCATCACCAATGTTGTTGTTCGTTTGGTATTATAATGGCTAGACTATTAGTATTAGTCAAATTTGGGATTTGACTATTGTTGCCAATTTCATCGCATCTCTTTCTTTTAATGTCTTGGTAATAATTTCTCTACGGTCGAGTTATGCAGCTTAAGTTCCGTAGAGTTCTTCCGGACGTGATCGGTGATCTTTCTAAACTTTGATTTTGAATGCCTCAGATCTATATTTTCGGGCTGAAATTGGCATGTTGAAGTTACTCAGTGCAATGAGAACTGATCCAGCTCGAAATTAAGACTTTGTTGGTAAGTTTGATTTCTTTGTGCAAGGTTAAGATGATATACCGTATAATGCAAGATGATGATGATGATGACGATGATGATGAAGTCAAGAGTGCAGCAGCAGTGGCTTATTCCAGCACCAGGCAGCGGTAGGGACAGGGCCGGGGAGCGTAGGGGGAGAAGCTCTACGATCCACGGCGCGGTGACGAACGCTACGCACAAGAAAGTTAGAACTTTGTTTGTCGATGGAACCGACTTGAAATTATGATAAGTTGTTAGTCTAAGTGGCTTCACTGAATTGTTTGAACATTGTCCTGGATGAGACATTGTATTTTGTAGACTTTTACGAAGATGATCCTCTTTACTAGATCTATGCGAACGATCCCCTTGCCAAGCCGCCTTGCTCCAGCAGGGGCGCTGGTCTGAGAATAAGGATCGTCTTCATAAACGAGGATCGGCTTCGTAAACGCAGACCGATGCGTCCTCATAATAAGAATCGTCTGCATTTTCGCAGACGTTTCATATTTTTTATCGGCGCATTGGTGATGCAAAAAACAGATTCTGTGATGATTTTCTTGATGCATTTTACATTGACTTAGTAGGTCTACAGAGACCTTCACATTATGAGCAATAAATCCTTGGAAAGATGGACGACCCTCAAAAGTAGACGTGAACCAGGCTTATTTTCCTCTGGGGAATCCGTTTTTGGCATCGCCAGCGGGCCGTTCGGTAACCCGAATCCCGCAGAGCGCCGATAAAAAAAACGTCCTCGAAAATGCAGATGATCCTTATTTTTGAGGATGCATTTTGTCTGCGTTTATGAGGATATCCTCGTTTGTGAGGACGATCCTCATTCTCGGACCAGCGCCCCTACTGTTCTCGGACCAGCGCCCTGCCCTAGTGATAAAAAGTAGGATCGTTTTCGTAAACGCGGAAACATATGTCTGCAAATTCTTAGTTCTCACAAACCCTTTAACCCCATTTTACTGTCTTTACACCCATTTTTTATTCAGGACTATTCAATCAACCCCTGATATCACAAGCCTTCATGATGGGAGACGAATGGGTCCAGAGGATTTCTCGAAAGAGAAAAACTCCTTATTACTTCAACACAAGAACGGGAGTGGCACAGTGGGATGAACCTACTATAAATACAGAGAAGGTAAAGCTTGTGATCTCATATTTGCGCTGACAACAATCGCTCCTGGCTTTATTTTGTTAAAGGAACCAATAATAATGATACTAATTATGGAGGCTTCTTATATAGCACACATATTCGTCATGCTTCGACCGTCGCGCTCCTGGCTCTGCAACATGATTACCCTCGACATACATTTATCTGGCACCCAAGTATGTAGCGCTCTGGCACATCAGGTACCCATTTACACCTGAGTGGAGAGTGGCAAAAGTAAATTATTTAATGTCTTGCCAAAGAGCGTTAGGGCTGCCTGGGATTCAAACCCGTGACCCTTGGATTAAGAGTCAATGGACCATTATACCATGACACCTTCATAGGAATAGGAGGAATTGGTTAGGGTCGCAATAAGATTTAGGTTGGGGATTAGGGCTAGGTATAGGGTTGACAAAATTGTTGCAGGAGCTTGTGTTATATACCAACACTTCATGTGTCCATGCAGGCTAGTCAACTAGACATTTCATTTCAAACAGTCATTTGGAAAAGTTTAGACGGAATATTTCATGATTCTTTTTAGACTTTAAAATTATTATCACCTACCCAATGTGTTAATGCAATCAAAAGAACTAAGTTGTTAAAAACATATATATGAGTGTAACTTCTGACAAGTTACTTTTCATTTCTCCTTTCCAGACATGTAAGGATCAGAAAAAGGCAGACACTGGTGAAGAAGAGAACAAGGGAAGCCCCGCAAAGAAAGTTAAAAACATGTCAGAGCCTCATACCAAGAGCAAATCATCACCCGTCAAGGATTGTAGTCCAGCTTCCAAACCAATGCCTTCAAGATGTGATCAGGACCCTCTAGCGATGCCAGTAGAGCAGCAGTTTGTACCAAGGATAATACATCCAAAGAAGAGGAAAAAGAGAAAGAGAAAGAAGTCATCGGCGTCATCAGAAACACCCAACCTGGATGATACACCCCAGAAGAAATATCAAGACACTGAACAGCCTGAACCTCCAGATAAAAGTAACAGTTTGAAAGGACCACCAGCAAAACTTACTCTGACTGTAGCCGCACCAGAAAGTGTAATGAAAGAGACTGTCCTGCCGGAGAGAACGAATGTGAATATGTCATCTCCAAAAGGAAATTGTAACCAAAACAAAATAATTGATGGTGCTCCACAGCCACAAAGAAGGACTTCATTGGAATCTGTTTCTCTGATGGAAGTTGACCTTCCCTTGAGGACAGAGGTAAGGAGTTTCATCTTTTGGGTCAGACTGTTAGCTTGCTAATGTCTGCTGAAAGCCAGGAAGTTGTTTTTATAGTAATCCCTATTCTTTCACATCGATTTAACAACCCTCTGGCTCACAGCAGATTATTTATCAAATAGATAACTACAAACCCTTGTTTTTGTAGTGTCTTAATAGTGTCTTCGTGCTGTCTAATCAGGGTTATCACAAAAGATGATGAACTGTGCCATCAATCTTTGTGTAAGATTACCTTTTTTAAAGTTTGAATATATATGATACAAGATTAAGTATTTTGGCAGGATTACAGCCTACAGCACCACAAGTGCTAATGACAGGCTCTTTAAATTGGAATCTAGAGAGTTTCAAGACATGTGATTTTAAGGTTAGCGAGATTAGGTTAACCAATTGACTACAGGAACAGAATGGCCCCTGTATTGTGCCTATGGGAAAGAGAATTAAGTAGTCATCAGGTTGATAGAGTTCCTTTGAAACATTTTAATCATTATTCTGGTGATCTACAAGTATAAACTGCAGGCAGGTGGGAATCTTCATTCTTTAATGATTTTACTGATTGAAATATTGTGAACCAATTTGATTGGCTCCCCTTGCAGAGACTACCGGTGTGACCCGCTGTCAACAATTATATCTGTTAATACCTGAAGAGGCCATTGCTTGCAGTTGCATATTATATTGAAAAAACCAACCTTTCAGCATCAGGGGGGGGGGGGGGGGGGGGGGGGGTGCTGCACAAAACTTGTCATCAGTGACAAATGAGAGTTTTTGTTATAAGCTACTGAAATCCTTGCTTCTGATTGGTTATCAGCAGATTTGTCACTGATTTTTGTCATTTGTCATTGAAAAAAAGGCTTTGTGAAACGCTCCCCAGGTCCACTCTGGTCTACATTGTGCTGCATATAAGGTCCTGTGTGAACTCTTCATCCTGTTTTGTTTTTCAGGGTAAAGTTCTTGTGGTTGTTGACACCAATGTGCTGATCAACAGTGTGAAATATGTCAGGGAAATAAAGGGCGAACCCATCAAAGGTGAGACACATTAAAGGATAATTCTCAATAAGGAAAACATACTCTTGCCTACAGGTTGCCTACTACTTTTAGAAATAACTAAAGAAGAAAAAAATAGGGTTAACCCAAAATGGCTAATCTCTCTTGGTGACTACTGATTAGTAGATCAAGTCGTAGTCACAATTTGCAGTATAAATGGCTATCGTTAACAACTTTTGAAAGTTTTATGATATTGATATTCACAAAATCATCTTTTACTTTGCATACATTATTCGTTGCTATGTTGGGCAATACCCTGGCAAGCTTTTCTGTCACCAAGAGAAACATGTTTAAAAAATAAGATACATAAAAAGCAGTTAAAACAAACAGGTCTTTTACAAAATTGTATGGGACACCTTTCTCCAAAAGAAAATTAAGTTTGTTATCATTCATTTCGCAATATGCCTCAGAATACATTTTTTCTAAATGTCAATTACTTTTTATCTTCAGATTTAGGAGATATAATGCTGACCATTCCTTGGATGGTGATGCAAGAATTAGATCTTTTGAAGGTAGGTGAAATGAATAAGATTTTGACTTGTTTATCTATGAAAAGGATTGTTGCATTGTGATGATCTTGTTTCACTCTTTGGTTGCTTAGGTTGACTCTCGGCACGGTTGCTCATTTGCCAGACATGCAAGTTTGCACAAAATATTAAATAGGCACCAATTGATAATAATTACAGTGCTTATATAGCGCCTAACACTTACTTTGTGAGAAGTCTCTAAGCGCTCTACAATAATGCAGCATAATTACCCTGGCTTTAGCAGTGCAGCTGTTACGCACGCTGCGTTTCAAGGAATAAATTCCTACCAGGAAGGGATTTCTTTGTGCGACACACTGGCTTTGCAAAATTACCGATTTCTTGTCTTGATTGCATATGGATATATGGATATGGATTGATCTTGCACTGGAAACAGTTACATTATCTTGAAGTCTTTAGTATAATTTATATATGTATGTAATATGTATTATAAGACAAATATCATGTGGCACAGGGAGATTATTTGTGTGGCATGTAAAGAGTTAAAGAGTGAATTGAAGACTGTCTCAGAGTGACATCATCCTCCATAAAGGAACCAAGAGTCCTTTGTAAGTTGCGTGTTACACATATTCATTTAAAGCTCTGCAAATTCAGTGACTTCCCCCTTCCTGAGATTCAAGAACAATTTGAAGTACACTTTCTTTTTTATTTTTTTGTTAAAATTCCATTGAAAGCATATTTGTCAGTATCTCTCAACTTCACTGTGTAAATAAATAACCATTGCAAGTAAAAAGGAAACAACTCTCTGTGGGAAGTGAAGGATTCAAGAAAAGAGCGTGATGTGGTGTTTACTATTAAAGGGAATGAAAAACAGAGAAAAATAAATAAATGGTATAAAAACCATTTTGTTGTTGTTGCATTTTTACGGTTTCATGGGCTGCTGGATCTTCCATTTCAAAGTGTAGGTAGCAAATGTTGTGTGTTTTTATACAGTTTTCTAGTAGTGCTCCATCCTTTATCCCATCTCTGTACAGGGCCCAAACTGTATGGCGATGACTCCACTATCATCTGCAGCAAGGAAGGCTCTGGATTTTCTGCATAAAAACAGGACTGATCCTAACATTAAAGGCCAATCATATAACCATGTAAGATTTTGTTAATAACAATGATAACAATAGTAACTAGCACTGGTATGCTACACATATTACAGCTATATCACAGTGTTTAATAATGTAATACATGATATTGAATCAATCTTAAAGTAAATATGAATTAATGCCCCACTGTCCTACTTGTAGCTACTTGCTCCCTCTATATAGAAAACTTTCCCAATCTGTGCCTGTTGGTCCCCCATGATCCTCTTTTTCTTATGTTAGTTGAGAGCTGAGTTAATGAGATAGCCACCTGTCAATGATCTCGCTGTGTGGTCTAATCCCTTCTGGCCTAGTAGTATTGACGGTCTTTAAAGGGAATGAAATGAAAAGGGGTTTAAATATTCTGGAAAGACTTATGTTTTCAAGATTTTCTTAAATTGGTCTGTGAAAGTAGCTGATTTGTTGGAAGATGGGATATTAATACCTGGATGTGGTCACAGTAGATGTGTAATCTTCAGCTTTACTCCAAGTTTTTGGACTGGGAATAAGTTATAAAAAGGGTCCCCAGAAGAGCCGAGATTAGGTGAAGATGGGTTGTGCAATGTATCGCAATCTTTAATATATTTATACTGGCATTTATTTATGAAGCTATTTTTATCACCTCGCTAGTATTTTTGTAGTGAAGTATTTTTTTCTTCATTGATCGGTATATTTACGCCATAGGACTGATCCTAACATTCAATACCAGTCGTAAAACCATGTGAGAATCTCAGAAAAGAGCCAACATACATTTGCAGCTAAGTTCTATAATAGAGATGCCAACCAGTACAATTAAATTGTATTTAGTATGATAATAAGAGTGAGAAATGATCTTAAAATCTTAAAATACGATTTTTCATTTATTTTTTTTATATATTTTTTTTTAAAAACCCATAAAAACAGCAGAATTGCATAGAAACAAGTACAAGTTAACCCCCGCAACCCCAACAAAAATTTGCTTTACAATTTTCTCATTAAATTTTAATGAAATTTTAATGGCCCGGGGTCGACGGGCCAGTGGTAGTGTCAAGTTTTCGTGAAAATCTGATTTTTCTCTCCAAAATCAGATTTTTAGGATACTCAGTCTGTTTTTTGGTGTCAAGAGGTTGGCATCTCTGCTATTAATGCAATGTTTATTAAAGACCATCAACACTACTGGGCCAGAAGGGTTTAGACCACACAGCGAGGTCACTGACAGGTGGCTATCTCATTAACTCAGCTCTCAACTAACATAAGAAAAAGAGGATCATAGGGGACCAACAGGCACCGATTGGGGAAGTTTTCTATATTATAGAGGGAGCAAGTAGCTACAAGTAGGACAGTGGGGCTTTAACACTTGCATAGTGGCTATTGGTGCAGATAACTGATGGTGTTAACCTTTGCAAATGGTTTCCCCAACAGATGTCCCAACCTTGATTTCTGGATCTGGGCCTTGTTTCATGAAACTGTTTATCAATAACAAGTTACCAGAAGTGTAATAAGCTACTGAAATTGCCCCATTCTGTCTCGAGATTGATACCCTGTTTTGTTCATTTTCTTTCTTTCTTCTTGAATGTCTTACAGTTTCTGAAGACAAAGAGAGAGAAAGATGTGAAAGAAACCAGTGATGACAAGATTCTACGCTACTGTTTGCAGTGTAAGAAAAAATGTAAGTGCAATGAAATTATTGTAAAGAGAGATTTATCTATCTACATGTATGTATAATGGAGAAAATATATTACCAGTGTGCATAGGGAGTATGTCTGCTTTAAATTTAACTGCATTGTACGCAAATGGTAGGATTATATATTTTGAACCCAAGAAGAAATAGCAATTGGAAATAGCAATTAAGAATTCATATATTGCATTTAGCCATATCCTATGATACATCTGTAATTTCCACTTTAGATGATGTAAATAGAGTTTATTAAGATCGATGGATCAAATATAGAAATTGAACAGCAAAAATTATCTGTCAGATTATTGCAGGTACACATTTGAACAAATTAATTGGTTTACGGGATGTGGTAGAAACAAAGCAATGAATTCCCCACAAGGAAAACAATACTTTTGTGGAATAGAAAAGAAGGAATGGTGACATTGGCTTTTCTTTCCCAAATAGATCCAGAGAACTTGGTTGTGTTGCTTAGCAACGACAAGAACCTTTGTGTGAAGGCTTCATTCAGCGGAGTGCCATCATCTGGAGATAGGGTAGGGTTACGATTCATTCATGGGGACTTTATGTATGAGAAATGTCCGGAGAGGTCCTCTTGGTTTTAAAGGCTGGTTTCCTGAACGAAATATTGTTGACATGGCATTACGAAATAAACACAAGTATAGTCAATATCAATGCAGAACCTCTCATTTCAAACAAAGTGCAATACCATATTTTATTGATCTTCTTAATAATCACTGATTGTTTTAAGTTTTTCTTTTCAGTCCCAATCTTTTTTATTTGAACAGTTGTCTTTTTAACCAGACCAGTATTTTATCTGTCATGGTTTCATTGTACGATAATGTAGATATGTTTTGTGAATGGAAACTCTTTTCTATTTATATGTATCCTCGATCATTGTACACACATACATTTCAGCTTTTTAGCTGCAGCATGTGCATCATTGTACTCTATGTTTTTCGAAATAAAATCTTGAATTGAATTGAATCAAATTGAATTGAATGATGATATGCTATCCATGATATATTTTGAGTAGTGCCTCAAGGGATAAGATACTTGAGAGAAAAATAGAAATCAGTGATATTTTTTAACATCACAAATTTGAGAGGTGTCCTTGACTATGTCACAATCCACTTACCAAATTGCCAATTTGAGATTTGCATAGATTTAGTGATCTCATATGCCAAACATTCATAACACCAAATCATTGGTCTGATTTATTTCAAACTTTTGCCCGTCTGTGTCCTCATATTTCTTATTTTATATAAATGAGCTTATTACAAGGGCTGGCTTGCCCTTTAAGACCCTATTACATGTAACAACTTCCCCTAAGCATCATTTCTGTCATCATTTTATGTCAGTATCTATATTATATAAATGGACATTCACCTGTCCTGGGGGTCAGATACCATTTAATGCAATATTTGAAGGGATTTTCTTGTTTGTCACTGTTTTGAAACTGTTGTGTTGCTGTTATAACCCCTTTTGCTAATCAATGATTGTCTTTCTCCCATCATGTCATGGCCACAATATTACTGAGGCACTTTTTTTTTCACTGATGTCAATGATAGGTGTAAGACGATTTGCTAGATGTGTTTCATGTTTTGCCAAAATGTCTTGGAGTTCAAAATACTTTGCTTCACTGTTTTACTATTTTTCTGGCTTATATTCCCCTTCTATCAGCTCTTTATGGATGAGATCACTAAACAGGTCAAAAGTCACTCTCAGCTCTGTTTATCCTCTGACGACAATGATGTATTCTCATCAAGCGTCACTGTTTTACTATTTTTTTTTGCTTATATTCCCCCTTCTATCAGCTCTTTATGGATGAGATCATTAAACAGGTCAAAAGCCACTCTCAGCTCTGTCTCTCCTCCTCTGACGACAACGATATATTCTCACCCAGCGAGGAGTGTCCCTCCTCAGCTTCAGGGAGGTCCTCACCGGAAGGAGCCATCACCTGTATCTCTCCCATGGAGTTCACGTCCCCAGGAACATTCCAAAACAACAACACATCTACAGTGAAAGGTACGGTTTACAGAGAAATTGTCTACTGTGAGCTAGAAGGGCATTAACTCCAATACTTTTATGAAGAGTTAAAGGGATAGTAGGGTTTTGTTGCAGAGGGCGCTACACAAAATGTTTTTTGTCAGATAATGAAAAACCAAATAATATACCATTTAAATCACAAAATTACCTATGTTTTGATCAAAATTGGTTCAGAAACGGCTGAAATATCCAAAAATATAACCATTTCTAATATTTTTGGCGCCCAACAAATATTCGGCAATTTTGAACCAGCCATTAAAAACCAAGATACTGTAGCGCCTTATACCAGCCAATGCCAATATCGGCTTTAAACAAAATAATTATTAATTAAATAATTAATCAATAGTCACCATATTTTTTTGAAAGTGGAGCTGAATTGGTGTGATCGTATTCAATCTAAATTCACACATTTTCGGGTGGGGTCTGATATTACCTTCATAGCAATTGTAGGTTCTAAAAGGGCACTAGAAATGTCCTAAATAATAAAAATGCACTTTGAAGGCATTTGCGGTCTTAAACAAGAACTATCCCTTTAATGCCCTTCTGGCTCTCGGCAGAAGAAAATGGAAGTGAGCAGGTATATGCAAGAACTTCAAATTAACTGCCCCTGGAAGAGAAATTTGTCCAACAAATAATCTTGAAACCATGCTGATCCTTTTTTTATCTCTGGTAGGTCATGCTCAAGGAAATTCCAAAGGCATTGATATCTATGCAGATTCTTTGAGAGTTTTTTCGTCTCCTTTTATTTCAACATGAATGAAAAGGGAATTCCGCTGAGTGAGGAAGGCGTTTACCATTAGACTTTAGAATCGTTAGAATTTGCCAGCATTTGAGAAGTATCATTTTGACATGTCGAGATTATCAAGCTAGTCAACAAAATCCTAGGTAAAATGGATTAATTTATTACATAATTTTTACTTTTTTACAAGTGTGGTAGCAAATTGTGCTCAGATCATAGCATGCTCCTAACCTGTCCTTAGCTGAAGTTGGCAAATTTAAATGGATATGAAATTAATGGGTAGATATCATAAACTTTGTTTGGTTTTTAATTGTGAAGTTGTAAGATTATGTGAGAACTCTTGTTGTACATTAAATATTTTTTACAGTTTCTTTCATTTCAATAGGCAGATATCCAATTGTCTTTGGACTTTAATATGAAATTTGTTAGATTCTGTTATCATTAAGCCCGTTCACGGTTGCAGTCTGAGCATGAGCAGATAAAGGTCATTGCAGTACAAATTGTGAAATACACGGAGATGGAATACTTGATACGTGCTCATGAGTGTTATGTAATCATTATTCATTTATGCACAAGCAGAGCACTCCATGATACACAGGTGGAAGTGTTCTTTGAAAAGGGGAAACAAAGGCTGAGTATGTAGCATCTCCATCGCTGTAGGAGTGTTTATTTCAAAATGTACAAAGTGGGACCTTTTCATGTTTTGAAGATCTGTGGATAATCGGGGTCATTGGAGCCATGTGCTAACTGTGAACTGGTCTATTATATTGTTCATCATTTACAGACCTCAAGACTCACAGTGAAGACAATGAAAGAAGAAAGCAACCTTGCATATCTCAACAAAATGATAGAAAGAGAACCACACCATCTCCCCTCATGAATCAGAGTGATGTGAACAGACCAAAGCCATCTTCACCAGCATCACAGAGTGACTTGAGGACTAAATCAAACATTACAATGGGAGAGAAGGAGACAAAGACACAAGGAAGGCCATCTACATCTTCTACAGCCCCTTGTGGAACAGTTAAAGCCAAATCGGATTTGATAGAGGAGAACATTGATCATCCACATGCATCAGATTCAGCCACAGAGAGAAAGAAAAAGGTAATATTGTTATTCTTATGATTTATGAGATTTTTTACCAACATTCTGGTGTTATTATTATTATTGTTATTATAATTATCATTATTATTATTATCAGTAACAGAAGTAGTAGTAGTAGTAGTAGTAGTAGTGGTGGTGGTAGTGGTAGTGGTAGTGGTAGTGGTAGTGGTAGTGGAAGAAGTAGTATTTTGTTGAGAATGTTTGGAATTAACCAATACAGGCAAGTTATTGTACAATATGTAAAAAGACCTCATAATTATCAACACTTTGTATTCTATTTTTTTCTTTAACTGTTAGAGGATTACAAGAGGAAAGCAAATCCCCCAAACAGGCAAGCTTTTGCTGAATATGTAAAAAGACCTAATAATTCTTAACATCTTAATTAACATTTTGTTTGTTTGTTTGTTTGATGATTAGGAGAGAGATTACACCATACAGCTGACAGGTTTTTTGAGGCTTGCTTTGGTTGTTATCCTCAGACAGGAGATGGTAGAGAGCTACACTGATCACTGGTAAGAAAAACCTCTTCTATTAAATCATTTTTTGCATCATGATAATAATAATTAATTTGTGCCAGGTACCCATTTACTTCACCCGGATTGAGTGTGGCAAATGAAGATTGATGTCACTGGCATCCAAAGTCTGTTGACGTGTCCACTAGACCACCACACTTCCACATTAGGTAGTGTCATTACTCTGTTTCAAGTATTGACAATGATGCCAGCTTTCAGCCTTTGCCCAATTTCGCCTCCTGTCAGACCTTTAACAAAAAGATTTTGTATTACCTTTGGGTCGGTCGGTCAGAAATCCTTTTTTAAAACTTTTTTAAAACTTTTTTTTTTACTCCCTCTTTGGGCTGATATTTCTCTGTTTTGAATGCTTTAATACATTTTTTTCGAAAAACCTGTTAAAAAAATTAATTAAAAAGCCGGCCATAGATTTCAAGATTTTTGGGTCGGTCGCAAAGGGCAAAAAAACATCCTTTTTTTTAGGCCTCATCATTCTGTTTCAGGTTTTTTTCCTCAGGCTACACATTGTACATTTATAGGGATCTAGCATATATCTGGTATCTCTTTTACACTAATTGGGAAGAACTACCGGTGCCCCATATATTTGTGTGTAGCATCTGAACCATTTAAAGACCTTACTCTATGAATTACCCCTAAATATAACCAATTTCATAAAGCACAAAATCTAAACTACAAGACCTGTATTATCTATATTTTGTGACTGTCAATAGAATAGAATATTTTGTATATTAGATTTTGAAATAATAATGTATTTTCTTATTGTTTTTCATTATTTTGCAGGTTAGAGATTGTACACAAGAAACCTCCTTGGTCTCTCCTAGATGCCCTACAATGTATCAAGAAGTAAGAAGGATTCTTGATAATTCCCATTCCACTCCATTTGTCATTTTTGATGAAATAGCAGATTTAAAATTTCAAGTTACTATTCTTTGTTTAATTTTGGAATCGGCATTGACCACCTGTTCTTCCTTTTATGTAGAGTTGCTAATTATCTCAATCAGAACTAAGTTCCTAGTCATTCAGTAGTCAATGCAAAATGGGATTGAGTCAGAAAAACTCGGTAAATTTTGAAAAATTGATTTTGGTCAAGAATGTACCAGCATGAAAGGATGAAATGGGTAGAATTAGGGGTCATGAGGTCGAAGGTCAAAGATCACAGGGATATATAAGTTATAAACATCTTTGAAAATATCTTGTTGCCACGAAAAGCTGAGAACCAACAACTTGACAAAGTAAGCAAAGCTTGATAGCATGTCTGCTCTCAATGGATACATAATGATACGAATATGGAGGAATAAATATTGGTAAAAGGGGAAAGAGAGAGAGAGAGGAAAATAAGAAGAAAAAGAAAGAGGGGGTGTACATCAAGATTCACAGATGTGTGTGGTACAATGTAGTTAGATTTCAATTTAATATATGAAGATAAAAAAGAAGATGCACATTTGAATATTGGGTGGCCAACTTGGGATATATTAGGGACTTTTAGATTTGTACAACGACAACATGGATTGCTACGATCGATGTCCTTGTAATGCACTGCCTTGAATGGACGTCACACGTATCAGTCCACGCAAATCTAAAAGTCCCTATTATAGAATGAGAAGACTCACAAGGTTTCTGGACAATATGAATACAAATGTTAGATCAACAAGCTGGTTTATATAGACTGAAAACCTTTGTTTGTATACAAAACAGTGTTTAGTCAGTATCCCAAACAGGCCACTCTTTATTTGTACCTTTATTCATACCAGGTAATGGAAGGTTTTTCATGTACTTGTTCGCTCATTTTCTCTTTTATACATTTTCTGTAGACATTATGTAGCTGTGTTTGGATTACTGCTAGGGCGTAGGAACTCAGAGGAGGTGGATCAGCTTATCTCTATTGTGGAAAGAATTAGAGAAGAAGGTAAGTACATGTACCGTTAAATTGAAGCTTCCTAAAGGAATAAGGGAATCGGCTTTTCCTCCTTAGAGTTCTTAGAGTTCTTAGAGCTCACAAGCTTAGCTTCTAAAGGGGTCCTAAAACCATTCAGTTTATGATGTAATCAAGTTAGAATATGTTGATTGATGTACTATTACCAGTCTCTTTTTTTATGTAACAGATTATATCATGCTTTGTGTGGTTTTGAATAAAGTGAACTGAAGTGAAGTGAACTGAATTGTTCTGGTGAAATTGAAATGAAACCATATGGGTAGGAATTGATAGTACATACTTTTAAAATCAATGCAAAGTAAAGCTGATATGTTGGAGAGAGTTTGTTATGCATTACCAATATGAAGATGTAAATACTTTTTTTTCCAATTTTGTATACATTTTATATATATTTGTATGGAATCTATCCATTATCTTTTTCTTTACTTACCTGTTTAAACAGAATGTAATTTGATTTGAATTAAGTATTTTGACCTAAGTTAGATTTACCCAGGGTGTATCTTGTATCTCATTATATTTTAAATATTACAACAAATTTATATTTTGATAATTGAAATAGAGACTGGCATTAAAGGGATAGTTCAGTTCAGTTTTCAGACCGCAAATGCCTTCAAAGTGCATGGTTATTGCTCTTATTCTTATCTTTGACATTTCTAGTGCCCTTTTAGAACCTAAAATTGCTACGAAGGTAATTTTAGACCCCAAAATGTGTGAAATTTAGCCAATACGATCATACCAATTCACCTCCCCTTTCAAAAATATATGGTGACCGTTAATTAATTATTTAGTTAAAAATAACAATACACGGGCCGGCTGGTTGTGCGTAATATAACCAACACGAAAATGCCAACAGAAAGCCAACATCGGCATTGGCTGAAAGGCGCTATTTCGTTTTTTCAACGGCTTTTTAAAATTATCTAATATTTGAGGTGGTACATATAAGTATTAGAAATCGTTATATTGATGGATATTTCAGCCGTCTCTGAACCGATTTTGATCAAACAAAGATGATTTTGTCATTTAAATTGTATGTTCTCTCAAATTTGACTCTCAGTTTTTCATTATCTCTCCAAAAAAATTATTTTTTGTAGCGCCCTCTGCAACAGAACTCAACTATCCCTTTAAAGTTTGTTTTTTATCTTTTGCCTGTGAAACAGATTCTTTCACATCAAAACAGCTGAACTCCTTTCACTCTGCTGCTAAGGAGATCTTAAATCCACTACACAAAAAGACAAAGTGAGTAGACATCAATCATTGATCCTAGTGAAAAGAGACATGACCCCAGGGTGGTTTTGCTTGTCAATGAGTAACTTGAAAAAAGGTCCTTGTAAGCCTTATCAGTCAATGGAATTGGTTCAAATTGTAAAAGTGCTACCGAAGGGCCCGGCCCCCCCACTCCGAGAACGGACGGACCCTATGCGTGTTACCAAAATGTCCTTTTGTAACAAAAGAAAAAGGTCGACCCGTATTGACTTTACACACAGGACTTTTGCTGAAAAGGGGGGGGGGGGGGGGGGGTGCTGAAAAAGGCTTGTATAACAAAAGAAAAAGGTCGACCCGTATTGACTTTACACACCAGACTTTTGCTGAAAAGGGGGGGTCGCTTGGAACACGCATATGCGTACCCTAAATAACACTGAGTGGGTGGGCCAGGCCGAAGGGACTGTGTATTGAAGGATTAAGCCTTCCCTGCGTTTGGAGGCGGTCAAAATGTTGTGCTGGCGCAAATTACTAGATGTGTCTTGGAGGGACAGAGTTTTGAATGAAGAGGTGTTACATCGAGCTCAAGAAAAGCGGGTGCTGATTCAAACGATTAGAGAGAGACAGAAGAAATGGCTTGGACACATAATGTGGCATGATGAGGACTTGATGCTCATATGAAGGTCGTATTCATGGAAAGAAGAAAAGGGGAAGACCTCGTAAAGGCTTTCTAGACGATGTTATTACAGAATGTCGAGCAACAGGGTATGAAACGCTGAAACGGATGGCTCAAGACCGAGGAGCTTGGAGAGACACTGAACCTGTCATAAACTGACAGATCACTATTGATGATGAAAAGGCTATGATAATGCTTCAACCCCGCACCCTCCTAGTTTCTCAACTACCAATCTTCCCACCGTTTTGTGTGATTATAGAGTGGTACATGAATTTGTTCAAATTTGTTGTGCAAGATATTTATTTTTATCTTTTTTCCTTCAGTCATTGATGTAGAATTTGATCTTGGGATGCATTGACATACCTACACTTAAAAACATATTGTAGAAGGTACTTGATTGCATATAGCTTCCCCTCCCCCTTCAAATGATATGTTAGTGAAAAAGGTTTCCCTGAATACCTATGTGATAATATAGCTGACATGTAAGGATTCACTAAGCAAGGCACAAAATATATAAAAAATTGAAGGCAATTTTTGTAAAAGATTACAAATTTGTATGGTAAAGTTTTTCTTCGTAAAATATAAAAATGCTTCTACTACATGTACTAAGGAACACCTTCTTTTTTTTCTTCTTCAAATTCCTTGTTTACACCTAGACCACACTTACTTTTTCACTCTGTTGTAACAGGTACAAGGATGTCACCACCAAGTGTGAAGGTGACATTGAGAGGGTGTACCGTCAATGGAAGAAGATGATACAGGAGGCCTCAAAACCTACAACCAGTACCGTCATCACCCAGGCTGCAGAAACACCACCAAGAATAAGTAAATTGAGGTCACACATGATACTTTTTTGTGAGGTTGTTTTGCTTTCCATTAATAGAGGGCGCTGTATAGGCTTGTTCGCATACTGGTATGCCGCCATAAACCTGGTTTGAGCATCTCTAGAGATGGATATGTTGCGCTTTATAAATATTGTTATTATTATTATTATAACTTTGTGACTGGCAAGTGGGGATGAAAAAAAAAGCTGTGCACATCTTACGTGTACTAACTCTCTACGTGTTATAAGATTAAAAAAGTGGAGTGCTTTATGTTGAAGTACACTTTATAAATACGCTGCAGTTATTCTTGCCTGTTTACTTTACTTGACTAATGGCTTTCCAGCTACCTGTCAGTCTGCTAAATCGTATGTGTGCTTGTGATGTCACAGGTACTGTTATGTACACATGTAGTACCAGTCTACATTGCTTCAAGTAGAATTAGATTAGCACTTAGCTTAGGAGATGTCCTTTAATTTACTTGATCACTAATTTGTACAAACTTTGGACAAGCTTGCATCGAGTTAATGTGGAACATTATGAGTTTTTCTAAACTTCGTAGCATTGCATGAAATATATTTGCATGAATAAATTATTAAGCAACATCTTTTAATTTGTTTGAGAATTTATGTAGATTAATTTTGAGTTCATTTATGTTAGCATCAAACTTTGAGGCCAATATTTTCCCAAGAGACAAAATCATGGCATACTGCAATAAATCTAAATTAATTTCTCATAACATTGATGGCATTATTATTGTTTTTTGTTTTTTTTTTAATTAGTAGGCTTGGAGCCTTTAGAAGAGAAAGAGAGTGTGCAGGAGAGCGAAGATATGTGCATTTCACCACCAGCTACCTCTTCCTCCAACACACCTGAGAGAGGGACAGAAACCAGACTGCTAATTAAAAACCAGGGAGCTAGGCAGGAGATGGGAGAGAGAAGGGGAGGAGATGGAATGGACCATGTGACCTTCTGCGTTCTTTCATGCTTCGAAGCCGTCTACACTGTACTGAAATACCATAGGTAAGAACATTACAGGTTCATCAAAGGTCATGCTAAAGTTCTATTTAGTCAATTTCAATAGAAAATGATTGCACAAGTGTAGTGGTGGTTATTTTACTTGACTGCCAAGAAAGTATAAAATCAATGCTTGTTAGTAAGCAACCAGAAAACCGACGGCTTTAGGTCCTCTCCGACGGACCTGGTAATGAGGATTAATTCCTTACCAAGGGGCACTAGCGCATCGCCTTGGTTTCGAACCGGGTCACCGGATTACGAGACCACTGCTCTACCAACTGAGCTATCGCGCCAAGTTTTTTCAGTTACAGTCTAACATGTAAAAAACAGACTAAGACTTTCTTGTCAAGACAGTCACCCTTTGCTTCAAAATAAGTGTTGGACTGAGCGAAGAATACCAAATGCAATATTTTGAATACTCTATCAGAATTGTGGGAACAAATTCAATACGATAGCAGAAAGAGTCTGATTCTGTTAGGAAAGTTGAGGCTACTCTGAAATTTTACCTATTTTATTGAATGATATTATGATATATGCATAGCAATGATTTCCTGCCTCTTGTATTTCTTTTTACTTATCTTTAGATTGCAAAATATCTGTACTTCATATTTTTAAATAGGATTATCTATTTTAAAAAATAACTTTTTGCAATCATAGATTTGGTGTTACAACTTTTTTCAGGTTACTTTTTGGTAAGTGCTGTGGAAGTCACAATATTTTGGGAAAGGGGCTATACCTTTTAGAAAACTCAGGCCATAAATATGACTTTATAGCCATATTAATATTTATATATAGTTTTATACATAATTGTCTCACCTGCGTAGCAAAAAAGCGAGACATAGGCGCCGCTTTTCCGGTGACGGCGGCGTCAACATCAAAAACTTAAAGTTTAAGTTCTTAGTCAATGAAACTTGGACTATGGGTTATCAAGTATCCCCAATCATGTGAGTAGTATTTCAGGTCACTAAGTTAAGGTCAAAGGTCATTTTAGGTCAATAAACTTGGACTTTGTTGTGGCATCAACATTAAGATTTTGAATTTTTTAGCATATTTTTAAAATTGATTGTCCAATTCCATGAAACTTGTACCCAAGGGTTATCAAGTATCACAAATCATGACACAAATTCCAGGTCAGTAGACTTGGATTATGTTTTCACAACTTAATATGAGAATTAATAAGTTTTTTTTATTAATTTGTTCAAAGTTATCGATCGTGGTACATTTAATAGTAAATAATTCTTCTGATGATTCTTTGTCAATATTCACTTCAAAATGTGATTATATTTAGAGGATTTCATTTTTGGGGGCCTGCTAATGGGCCACCCTGCCTATGAATAATGTTCCAACCTCAATTTTTCATCATATTGAATTGCGCAATACAGGCGACACCGCCGAGAGCGTTTCCCTTGTTTTGTTGTTTTATAATTCTCTCAAATGTTTAGATATTTCTCTAACAAAGTTGTAAATTTTATATTGTATAACAGGGCCCTGCTTACAAGCAATCTACTTATTAAGTGTATCCCTCCAGTTTTATGTTTAATTATTATTTTAATACAATGTGTCAATACTATGTTATATTTGATTTTTTTTTTTAAAGATGGAAAAATAAAATTCAATTGAAATTAAAAAAATTATTAACCTAGGTCCTGTCTGTTTTGACCTTGTAGGGATGTGATCGTATGGTCCTTCAAGCACCTTGCCAGTGGCTGCCCTATAGAGGGCCTCCCAACCATAGGTGCTAGCCTGAACTACCTCTCTGTGGCGTTACCTCTCGTTGAGATCATCGTCCAGTCTCTTCTAAGGTACATAGTTTAACTCTTATCATGCCACAGGGCTAATCCCCATTGTGCCAAGCCCAAGGTACAAGGCACAAGGCACTGAAGCAATGGCTCTCTCGCATTTACAAAGCACTATAATGGTAGCGTACATGCAGCCTTATGGCAGGCTACTTGTAGCTACTTGCTCCCTCTATATAGAAAACAATGCCTAATCGGTGACCATTGGTCCCCCATGATCATTTTTTTTTCTTATGTTAATTGAGAGCTGAGTTGATGAGATAGCCACCTGTCAGTGACCTTCCTGGGTGGTCTAATCCCTCCTAGCCAAACTAGTACAGATGGGCTTTAAATGAATGCGGTAGAATACAGTGTTAGAGATATATAGGAGTGGGTTCTCATGGGGAATGTGACACCATTACATTGGGACTGCTGGTCTTAAAACTGGGGGTGACATGCTTTTGAGAAATAGCAATTTCAATTGCTTTTGTCACCCCTGAGGCCCTGACCAGCAGATTGTGTCCTTCTCTCTCTCTCTCTCCTCTCCACTTTCTTAAAACTGCTTGCATGTATTATGAAATTTCTATCATGTATTATCTGATTTTTATACTAACTGTATGTTTTCCGGTTGGTCAAATAAAGAAAATAATAATAATAATAATAATTCTTTAAAGTCCACTCCAAATTTTATTAAACCGAAAATGGAAATTCTTTTTGCCCAATTGATAGTGAGCCCGGCAGCCACCGAGCAGCATCAGATGGTCTTTGAAGGGTGAAATGTTTCATGGTGGTGTAATTAACATTTATAAAGTTTGTGTTAAACCATGTGGGTAGTCCTGAAAAGGAATTTGTTTTTTTTCAAGGGGATAGAAATTAATGAGATAGTGAGGGAGAAGCGTCTTTGGTGTTATGTCCTATTTAATTACTTGAGATTGTGGGAGAGAAGTAGAGAAATTAGGGGAGAGATATATATTCTTCCTTGGGTGAAGTTCTGAAAAGGATTGGTGAACCTGGTTGTGAATGTACAGAGAGAGAGAGAGAGACAACATTCTGAACAGCTTGTTTGTAATCATGAGTCATCAAGAAAATGCTTGTTGCATTAAACATGTATTACAAGGCTTTATCAATCTCTTTTAGGAAGTTGCTTAATACATGAACCTTTTAATACTGCTGATAATGATAGAGGTATAGATATGAAGCCGGGTAGGGTAATGATATGATCGCAGGGCCCTCAGGGAGAACAGGAAATATCAGCCCTGATAATTACCAGATTTAAATCGGCTTCCTGATTTTTCTCCTATTTTCTCTATTTTCCCCAATTTTCCCCAATTTTCTTACTCAAAATGGGGGGGTGGGGGGGGGG